ACTAAGACGGCTCTACAGTTGCTGCACAAGCTGGCATGGAGATCAAACGAGGTCCGTGACTGGCACTGTGCTCCCTTGATCCTATGAAGGAGCTCCAGGACTGCATCATGCATTCCTGGCAGTTGTGGACCCAACGGATAATTTTAAGTGATCTTCACCTGCTAAAGGTGCACACCACAGCTTTATCCTACTGGACGATCAGGCAGCTAAACACTGACCCCCTGGGCCACCAAGAAGCTGGGCACTGACCTCGCTGGAGCACCAGGATCTTGGGAACATTGCCAACGCACCTAAGGTAAGCAAGAGGGCAGGGCAAAAACAATTTTTTTTAATTTTAACATTTATTATATATTGTAGGGTGGCTGGAACAAAAACACACCTAAACAACACACAGCCAAGCCCCCTCTCGTGTTTGTGTAAAATACCTGCAAGTTGGTTGTTTGCAGGTTAACAATAATCCTGTTATGAGGGCAAGAAGCATAACTGTTCCAACGAGCCATCTGACACCATATCTTCTCTTCTCTGTAAACATAGAAAGCTTTTTAATTATATTTTGTAACTATTATATATACACCGCAACTTTGAATTGTACATTAACAATCCAATAAAGGAATCCGCTTTACACACACAAACAAATGGCCACACCTCTCAGTGTGGATGGTCTTACTGATGATGTAGATATGACAGATGGAGGCAGCTGGAGTTGGAAGGTGTTTCCCACTGATGTTGTTGTCACCAACGACAACCAGTGTGTGTATGATATGAATATAATGATCACTGTCTCACTTCACGCTGCAGTCACTGATGGGCACCCCCAGGGACATCATATAGAGAACCGCCTTTCCACATGGGCACACTGTGCACTTGCCCGGGGGCCCCACAAGTATAGGGGCCCCAAAACATTGTCCTTGTACCGGACTGACAGCACCTTCACACACACAGCAGCCGTCACACACACAAACACTTCACCTCTGTGTTTATGTGTTGTGCAGTCTCTGTGTGTGTGTGTTCAGCAGTCTCTGTGTGTGTGTGTGTGTGTGTGTGTTCAGCAGTGTGTGTATCAGCAGTGTGTGTATCAGCAGTGTGTGTGCCTGTATTCAGCAGTGTGTGTGCATGTATTCAGCAGTCTATATCTGCTGAATCTACTACTTTGCTCCTGCAGAGATCCCACCACACCACCCATTATATTCATTTTCAGGAACATTGTTTCAGGCTGCAGCCCCCCATGCATTTGCTAGTCCTCTCATGCTAGTGGCCTTAAGGGGTAATTGTCCCATGCCCTCCTTGCCAGTCCTCCCATGTCTGCCATAGATGTTAGAGTTTTATCTCTGAAAGGAAACCTCTCATTATGTTTCATGCTAACTACTTAATAATAACTAGTTCTGCAAATCTGTTGAAATAAAAATATCACTATTAATATTACATTCCAATTATATTCATATTCGATTTGCTGTGCTAATATTTTAAAACACAAAGGGATTGGTAGTGAAGTTGCTAAATATTAAAGTCAAATTTAAAGACATTAGCTGGTTTGTTTGCAGGAATAAGATGTAGCATCAATACTGTAAACTTACCACCAGGTATTAGAACGGACATTATCTGAGGATGAGTAAATGCAGGATGAGAAACATTACATTTCACATCTCTCCCACTGATTCCGTGTTCGCTGTATGTACTAATAACTGTCCAAGTATTGTCCGACTCCATTCCCCTTCTAGTAGTGACATTATCTGATTCCGGAATCCAGGAAATATCAGCTGCTGGATTCCCACCAACAGCCCGGCACTCAGGAGATCCATCTCGGTTTATCATCAGAGACACGGAAGGAGGAACTGGGAAAATAAATGGTGCGATAACTGAAACATTATCTAGATTGTGGTCCTACTGACAAAAGTCTGGCTTTGGAAATTGAATGTGTTTTATCTGAGGACTTATCTGATTTCATATTTTTATTTTTCTAGTTTTGCTAGATACAGTTATATGTGATATATCAGTGATTCATCACAGCAGGTGACTTTCTTCCATTCCTCCATTGTCCAGTTCTGACACTCACATCTCCATTGAAGGTACTATGGTAGTGAACAGAGGTAATCATGGGCACTCTGACCAATGAAGCAACGCACTCCCATTCCTGTTTCCAACACATGACATTTAAAAACTGACTGTTACCTTGCTCCCTAATATATTCCATTCCTTTCACTTCACCTATCAGTAGTTTTAATGTTGTGGCTGCAAAATATACTGTGTATATATATATATATATATATATATATATATATATATATATATATATATATATATATATATATATATATATATATATATATATATATAACAGGGTTTAACAATGTAAGAGGGTATAACAGGGATTAACAATGTAAGAGGGTATAACAATGTAACAGGGTATGACAGGGTTTAACAATGTAAGAGGGTATAACAATGTAAGATGGTATAACAGGGTTTAACAATGTAAGAGGGTATAACAGGGTATAACAGTGGAAGAGGGTATAACAATGTAAGAGGGTATGACAGGGTTTAACAATGTAAGAGGGTATAACAGGGTATAACAATGTAAGAGGGTATGACAGGGTATAACAATGTAAGAGGGTATAACAGGGTATAACAGGGTATAACAATGTAAGAGGGTATAACAATGTAAGAGGGTATAACAGGGTATAACAATGTAAGAGGGTATAACAGGGTATAACAATGTAAGAGGGGTATAACAGGGTATAACAATGGAAGAGGGTATAACAATGTAAGAGGGTATAACAGGGTATAACAATGTAAGAGGGTATAACAATGTAAGAGGGTATAACAGGGTATAACAATGGAAGAGGGTATAACAATGTAACAGGGTATGACAGGGTTTAACAATGTAAGAGGGTATAACAATGTAAGAGGGTATAACAGGGATTAACAATGTAAGAGGGTATAACAGGGTATAACAATGTAAGAGGGTATGACAGGGTTTAACAATGTAAGAGGGTATAACAGGGTATAACAGTGTAAGAGGGTATAACAGGGTATAACAATGTAAGAGGGTATAACAGGGTATAACAATGTAAGAGGGTATAACAGGGTATAACAGTGTAAGAGGGTATAACAATGTAAGAGGGTATAACAGGGTATAACAATGGAAGAGGGTATAACAATGTAAGAGGGTATAACAATGTAAGAGGATATAACAGGGTATAACAATGTAAGAGGGTATAACAATACCCAATCCAATCAAAGAAGAGCACAATCTATATAACGTGCAAGCATGGCAATCCATTCCTTTTTATTTGGCTGCCACATCCAACCAGATAACTGGTTAACTAAAATTCTACTACAGAAAGAATCCCAATGGATGTTTGCATTCAAGACCCTAGCTCCACGAGGCTTGAATGAGGAATTCAACTATACTCTATTTATACATCGATAATTAGGGAAAAATAACTTAATTTTATCGCGCATTTGATAATTATCTCTATGAATATGATGTTATGAGATTGCATTTATTACACTGGTGGGATTGTAAACTAGTTACATTATTATTATTTTTTCATAGTACTCATCGGTGTCATGATCCATAGTGACACTGCTATTGGTGATTTGTATTTATACAAATAACTTTTCCTAAGGTGTAACTTTATGACCATTACCTCATTTCTTATTTTATTTATTTCATTTGTTGTCCTATAAATCTTTATAAACCCTCTTTTCATCCCTATTCTAATTTTTCTACTGCGAGATTATTCGCTAGAAACACTTAGCTACCATGCCTGTTAGGTTTGAAATTGTCTGAATACACAAGCAACTTGCATTCAGCATATCTTTCTCTTTTTTGAGTCTACTCAGCCACCATATTGATACACACACCTCCTGTCCTCCAAATTGGACCAATAACGTCCGAAGGCGGTATATTAAATCTGAGCCATTGGGGGGAGTCATTTCCCCCTGACGAGCCTCTAAACCAGGCAAAAACGCGTGTCGGGCTGTGATACTGTTCTGACTTTTCTCTGATACTTACATTTGCATCTCCCGCTTCTCCGTTTGATATGGTCTAAAACCTTTCAGCCTAAGATAACGGAGTGGCCCCTCTAGGTACCTCTAAGACTACGCTAACCGATAATTTCGCTAGCCCTGTGGGAAGTATTTCCCCTTGACGGCATTGGCTCTGAGGTTTGGACCATATACCTTACATTAACCCAGTGATCATCTGGGGGACTCCTTGAGAGTTGGTTGATTATGAGCCCATCTTTAGCGTCAGGGAAGCAAAATACAGATCAGGGTAATTCTTATAGCTTAGCGATCGGTTACTACTAGTGATGTCCCGAACTGTTCGCCGAACGGTTCGCCACGGTTCGCCCCGGACTCCAGTCAGCAGACACATTCCAGCCAATCAGCAGCAGACCCTCCCTCCCAGACCCTCCCACCTCCTGGACAGCTCACTAAGAATGCAGCTTCAAAATGGATGCTGTCCAGGAGGTGGGAGGGTCTGGGAGGGAGGGTCTGCTGCTGATTGGCTGGAATGTGTCTGCTGACTGGAGTCCACGGCGAACCGTTCACGGTGAACCGCCGCGAACCATTCGCGAACCGTTCGGCGAACAGTTCGGGACATCACTAGTTACTACACTTTATATTTTGAAGTAACTCTAGAGCCTCTTACTCTCTTTATGTAGACTCTCTTTGCACTTTACTGTTACCAGTGTCCACGAAGACACTATTCTCATTCCTCTTTATCTATCCGCATCTATTAGGTGCTTTCTATTCTCCCATTATACATTTCTTAGTTCTCCTGTTCAGTATTACGAAGTGGCCAGACTCTGTCTGCACTGGACTAGTCTCTAGGTCCTCCATTCATAGTGTGTACTGTTATAACACTGCCTGCCGGCAAGACTTCTATTCTGAACGATCTGTTACTATTTATCCCTGTATACATTGTATCTATTAGTGACAAACTCGTGAAATACATCTAACAGGTTTATAACATTGAATTAGCTATTCTTTTTGTACATTTTAGCCAGTTTGGCTTATACCTGATTAGACTTTAGATCTTTTATACATAGTGCAACACCAGCTCAACTGTGCCGTGTGTTAAGCCTCTGACTTTAAACGAACGTTCACTAATTATCACAGTTTACATTGTACTTACCCAGTCATATACTCCTGCTACTTATGAAATAGCTGACGATATTGAGCCAGCTATTTACATTTCCTCAGTTTCTTTTTTCCTTTTGAAGTTTAGAGTCTCTAGTAGCTTAGCTTGTGATTCTGTGTTTTTACCATGATTTTGGAGACTGCTGGCATGAGCTTTACTCCAAATCATTTGTCTAGATTTTTGGGAAATTTATTGAGTACTGTATATATATATTTCCTTGTTTTTCCACTCCCCCTACCCCGTGTCCATATGCTCCTGCATATATATTTTTGTCTGAGTTAGACAGTTATATTTAATCTATTTACTGCTTTTTCTTTTGATATAAATAAAGTATCTTCGTGATTTTTATTAAATTGTCATTATAGGGACAGATCTCTTTTTGAAACAAGAAAGTAGACAATCTCGACAGAATATTTCATGACAAACTGATAGTAAAAGTATTATTCAGAATATTATAACCAGTAATGCTGAAAGAAAATGTGTTAGTGAACAGTCAATGAGGAATACTGAAATAAAGTGGTGGGATAAAACTCACCTCCTGTCCTCCTGTCTTAATAGAATTGAGACTTTTTATTTAAAAAATTTAAAATGCTATTGAAGACAGGAGGCTCATCCTTTGCTAGCTGAAAACTGAACAAGTTGTTAAGAAGCAGGTCTAAGATAAAGTTGTTTAGAAGTGGACTCTACAGACCAATCAGATGTTTTGAGAATATCATGAAGATAACCTCCAGAAAGATATGTTTTGGTAGCCATAGCAGAACTCGAAAAGTGAGCTCCAAATGGGAAATTATCAATACCTGAAATGTACATGACAGAGTTTAACCTTCTAGCAATAGCAGAGGTCGGATATGGTTTATAAAAAGATATTAAAAGTTGCAAAGAATTTTATGATCTACAAGGATCTGATTTTAATTTAAATGATTTTAAACAATGGACAACACACAATTGTGGATTATGAGAAAAGCCTGGATAAGACACTGAAAACAAATTGGTTTTAGTGTGTCTCACCACCTGAAAGAAAGCATTATCTGGAGAAAAATAGGTGTTATTAATATCCAGAGCTCTAACATATGAAACACGTTTGAAAGAAATTAGACACAACCAGTATCCTCCCAAGATACTAGTAAAGTTAAAACCAAATTAACATCCCAAGTATAGAGATATCTGAGACAAGTAGGACATGTGCTATGGATACCTTTTTATAAGCTTGCAAATTAGGAGATGCTGTCCAATAGGTAAATTGTCAATAAAAGCACTCTTGGCAGAAATAACTACTCTATATACATTAATAGTGTGATAAGCCTTTCCTTAATAATAGCATTAAGATAAAAAAAAATGCATGATTTTTGGAAGAACGCCAATTAGACCAAATTTTCCAACGGATTAATAATTGACTCTGGTACCCATGCTTTTGATAAGATGACCTGAGTTGATTGTGAAAATTCATTGTAGATGTTTGATTCCCTAAATGTCACATTTAAGTACCTCCTTAAATTCCCATCTGATGCTAAAGATTCATTGTCAAGTGATTATAGCCTTTCTTAGTGAGTATAGCCTTTACCCAAACACTAGCCGAGACTTAGTGAAGGGGTAAAAATAACAAGGTTTATGGTGACACAACACACATATTTATAGGGACAATCACAAAGGGGGTCATTAAAAAGAACAATGCAAGCCCACCTTGGCGTCGCGATGTCTGGGACATAACTGGATCTGGGACAGGATAATATAATTAACTCCCAGTCACCCAAGCAACTTACAACATATTTCCCAAAACACAATATTTCTCACAAGTACCTCAACACTATGTACATCCCTGGACAAGGATAATTGCAAGGAACAAACCGTGCTCAAAACAAACAGTGCTCGGATTGGAGGTACACAGCCTGAGTAATCAATGGGTAAAGTTCAGTGGGATGCTGCAAACTTCCAATCCCACAGAGTTCCAGAAAGTCTTCATGTTAATGCTGGCCAGAAAGGGGTCCTTTTGGCTCAGTGGAAGGGGGCTCCTCCTAGTTTCTGGTGGTTCTACCTTCTACTTTCTCTTTAATTACCTCTCTACTGGGTGTTTGGGTTCAGAAGTGGTACAAGATGGTATGTGTACCTGGTAGCAGCCAGACTTCTGGCCGAGCAGAAATTCCAGATGGTCGCATGCACAGCACATATTACACGTATGCCTTGAAAGTAAAAATTGATGCTCTGCTCAGTGGGGGATAGAAGAACATAGGGAAGTGGAGGTATCAAGTGATGTAGCTCTTTTTAGAGGGAATTGCATTGAGTCCTGCAACAGTTGTCAGGTGGTGGCCAAGCCATAAAAATCTATTGATAATCCAAAACCAGGGGATGAAACACTCCTTTTCAATTCTTCAATAGGTCTTCACAGAGAGGAAGAATCCATGTAATTCCTAAAAATTTAATGGAGTTGTCAAAACCAGGATTGCAACCTGACATTCTAATTGAGATAACACTGGTAATCTTTGCAAATTGAGGAAAAGTTTGATGTCATCCTTTTGACCAATCTTCTATGAAGGCATCTGATTCCAGAGCTTCAGGATCCATACACCACCAAAAAAACTCCAGTAATTGGTGATGCAAAATGTTCAATGTTTACTAATGATGTTGACTTATTTTCAAACATTTAAGTTTGAGAGCACCTCGGAGATTGTGACCATAACGTTGTATCATTTAAGGTAAAATAAAAAATACAATCTCTTAATTTAAAAAAAGACTAAATTCATTAGGATAAAGGCATCTTTACAACCAATTGAAAGGCAGAAAATATTCAGTGGCAAAAGTACAGAGGATAAATGGAAGGTATTTAAACAAATTATACAAAAGTACTTTTCTCAATACATACCATTGGGAAACAAATTTTAAAAAGCTAATTAAAACCAATGTGGCTTAGTACAAGGGGCAGTAAAATGATATGAGAAAAGGGTATTTAAATAATTTAAATTAGAGGGGTCGATTGCACCTGACAACAAATATAAGCATCCCAATAGGGTTTGCAAAAGAGTGATTAAATTGGCTAAACTTGAAAATGAAAAGCTAATAGCCAAAGAGAGCAAGACCAACTGCCAGAAATATTTTAAGTACATCATTGCCAAAAAGGTTTAAAGTGTTCCATTGGAAGGTGAGATGGGTGATTTAATCAAGTTGGATCAGGACAAGGCAGAAATTCTAAATATTTTTCTACAGTTTGTAGCGAAGAAGAATCCATGGATGTAAATTGGAAATCCCTGTTACAAAAGCCTTACAACAAACTGGTGATTTGTTAGAATTTGGTAATCACACAGGAACTTGTGCAGGTGTGATTTATAGGCCCCCAGGACAAATTGAAGAGAAAGATAATCTACTAGCTGAGGAAATAGCTAAAATGACAATGAAGGGGGAAGTTATCATCATGGGTGACTTTAATCTTCCTGATGTAAATTGGAAAACCAAAACAGCTGCTTGTGCCAGAAGCACACATATTCTAAATTACCATGCGTATTTGTGATTGTGGTACATTGTGTATATTTTTTGTATGAGTATTGTGACATGAATGCTAAGGTTTTTTAGCATGCGTCTTTGAATATATGCTATTTTGGACCCACTTAATAAAGTGCTTTTTATGTATATGGTTGTGCTCCTCATTTATTATTTTTTTAATTTGGATTGCTCTCTGGAACCCCTGAATCTTCACTGTCTCTGTCGCTGAGGGAAAAAAGTGGTTCTGTTGTGTAACCAGAGAATTGTCTACTTCGATAAGAGAGGTAGAGGCCTCTGTTACACTGTCAATCTTGGAAATCTCTGCTGGAAGAGCAATCTCATCCTCTTCTGGCCTTCACAAAAAGTTTTGGATCAAAAACTTTCCTTAGCGACAGTTGAGCCTTATCCAAGGAGGAAAATATTCCTACAAATTTACTGATACTTTTAATAGTTTAAAGTTATTCCCAATCAATAGACCATCCAGTGAAGTTCCCTGTTCCTCAGAAGCCATCTGAAGAAGTAGGGGATCTCATTTTAGAAGAACAGTTTGTGTAATTTCAGAGGATAACACTACAAAGTGTGTCCCAATAGACAAACAGACTTTTTGGACGACAGACCATCATAAATGTATTTACGTTTTTTCGAACATTTGCGAGGAACAATAGTGTCCACATAATCCTTGGCAGACTCCATGGAAGACTAATATTTCTCAGAAAGAGATATTGGATGAGACTGACCTTTGAACTGAGATAAATCCAGAGGAAAATGATTTTTTAGAGTCTCTTGCATACAAACTGTAACAGATCACCTGGCACCCCGACTGGGTACCTCCGTTGAAGGATGCTCCTAGCACTTCCTGAGGACTCCAAGCACCGCAGCAGACACCAAAACCACTGAACCGTAGGAGCATATGAATGCTCTCAAGCATTTGAATGTTGTATACAGCCGAATAGGAAAAACCATGCGAATAGGTTTACACTCCTAGCAGTCAAACTGGAAAAGCATACAATAAATCCTCCCCCAATAATGAGACGACACTTCACTTTGAGGGTTAAGCAGGAACTCACTGTACTGGCACATACAGCCTCTTTTATTCCCAATCCACAAACTTAGTACTGCCCACAGGGTTTTACAGAACAACCAATCAATCTGTACAATACACACAGACACTCCCACACAAAATCCTCCCCTCTGCCTCTGATATGATTACTGAACACAATGGTTAATCTAATTATCACAGGCAGAGAAATACAGTATCATAAAACATATCACAGGAACACCAAAACATGCAATAACTCCATAAAACCGGGGGATCTGGGTGAACCACATATCCAAAATTCACCCAGATCCGTTCAGTACTTTGGAAGATACAGTTTAATGCAGATTCCACAGAACATATGCAGGCTAAATGGAAAAACAATTACTGTATAATGTGTCCCCTGTTGTATAGTCCAAAACCACTGCACGATGTCTCTGTGCACCAAATACCGGCGAGATGGCACCGTGTTGAAAAGTCCAAACGGTGTCTGTGAGTTAAAATGGCCGCCATCCATTGTTCTTACCATGTGCTTCATCCATTGTTCTCACCATGTGCCTCTGATACAGGAAATGGTGGCCACCCAGTAACTCCACAGTATGTCCCCAGATGGTTCTTAAAGGGCTGGCAGCAGCACAACAAATCATGCCCAAATCATGTCTTTAAAGGGCAATACATCCCAGGGGCCATAGTCACATGGCAGGAGGCTGGCAATCAGTCTTCTCCAATGCCCAGTGGCGAGGTCGGTTTTGCCACACAAGCCATAGCTGAAGAAACAGCTGGGTTAAGTGATTTATGAACAGATTCATCTAAAAGGGTTTACTGTGTTATGCTGGCATGTTTTCAATAACAACTTCTAAATCCTCATTAGAGGAATGTGAGAATCCTTAGAACAAGAACGATGTGGAATTCTCTGCCTGAAGAAGTGGTTTTATCAGAAGTTGTACAGATGTTTAAAAAGCAACTATATGCATCCTTGAAAAAAAAATAATAATATTCAATTATATAATTTTTCAGTTGTAGGGTAATAGTTTCTTGATCCAAGGATAATCTGACTGCCATTCTAGGGTCAAGAAAGTTTTTTTCCTAGCTTGTTGCAAAATCAGAAGTGCTTCAAATTGTGTTTTTTGTCTTATCTTGGATCAACAGCAAAAAAAAAACAGATGTGGGAAAGGCTTAATTTGATAGAGACATCTCTTATCAGCCTATGTAACTAATACCGACACTCACAAGAACTTGTGATGCTAATTTACCAGGGAAAGCAAGAGACACAGGGGCTATAGAGTGCAGCAATCGGAGTGAGATCCAACGAGATGTTGATGGCTCCACGCTTGCAATAGAAAAAAACATCTTAAAAACCCCAAGTAAAGGTAGGAGAATGAACAAAAAAAGAAGAGAAAGGGAGAGAGGGGGAGAATAATTAAAAGAGGAAATAAGAATGAACAAAATTAATCAAGAAAATATGGAAAAATCTGAAATTATAGAAAAAGGCTGAATAGTACAAAGGCACGAAACCTTCGGAATTACATCCCAAGATGAAAACAATAAGTAGTCAGAAACGCTTTCAGTAGTGGAGAGGAAGAACTGAAGAGGGAAATATTGCCTAAATTATTAAAACTTTAAAATTGGGGGGAAAACACATATGATAAATTAAGTACTGATTTTAAATATTGAAAAATATGATGGAGGGAGAAAATAAAAAAGTAACCTCAAAGGAAAGAAACAAAATAAATTATGTGCGTAAAATTAAATGAATTAATAAAGTATACTTATGTGCGCTGCAGAGTATCAAAGAAAGAAGACTTGAGTGCCATGGTTTTACTTATATAGACTGTGCTCTCCTCTGATTGGTCGTTGTTATACCTGTTACTAGCAAGTTCACGTGTATATTTGGTTTCTATTTTCACGTTTGTCTGCATTGTATTGTTTCTTTTTTTTGCTTCGTATTGTAAAGAAAGCATAATATAAACCTCCTGTCTTAAATAAAATTTAGATTTTAAAACAGTATTACTATAACTATATGTAAAGCATTCTATGCCATTTAACAATTCAGTAACTAGTTAGAAGTTAGTTTGTACCTAATACTTGTAACAGAATGTTATTTTTGAACGTTCCTTCAGCATTTATAACTTCACAGGTGTATTCCCCTGTATCGGTTATTTCAGTATCCAGTATTTTCAGGGTCATTTTGTCCTGTTTTGCTCTCTCTGTGCAGTTGTTGAAGGTGTTGTTGTCTGTCATTGACATGTAGCAGAGAGCTTTATACAGAGGAAGGACATACCAAGTACTCATTATAAATGTATCTCCTGGATCATGTGCACAATGTAGAATGCCAACAGAACCAGCGACAACAGACACAACGACGTCTGAAAACAGAAACGTTAAATAATAGACAGATCAAAATTTCAAATAATTTTGCACAATAACCTGGAGATAAAAACATGCACACACAAAGTGAAACATCACAATAAATAACACAGTGTTACAAATGTAAATAAATACAATGTTCCTCTTTGAACTAGCTGTGTTATCGATTTATTGAGAACTTGCTATAGGCAACAACTTTATCTGAGCTGACAGATTTGGTTTTGATCATGGCCCTGTGGTCTCACTGCTCAATTATCTGCCATTTAGGAGTTAAATATGGTTTGTTTCTGTCCACGCATCCCTAGACTCACCTCCTCTGGCTTTGACGCACAAACTTACTTAGATGTTTTAATATCCTGCACTGATTATCACACACAGGAGGTTCATACAAGCTCTAGCGGGCTATTACCAGAGCAGGGAGTAAGAAATTCTAAATTAAACATACTGTGCAATAAAGGGAGTTTTGTTCTTAGATCTCTCTTTATAAGAAATGTGTATAGAGACTGTGTAAGTTACAAGTAGGGAAGGTGTGACTAAGACTGCATACACAAAATGATTTAACTCCTAAATGGAAGGGAAATGGAAGGGAAATGACCAGGGAGACTGCAGGGGCATGGTCTATGCCTGAAAACCGCTTTGTCAAAAGCTGTTTTGGTGTATGGCTACAAAAATAGCTGATCTGTCACACTAAGTAGCTGTAATTATCCAGAAAGAGTTCCCCAGTCCTTAGAATGTAATGTTCAGGCTCCAGAAAATAACATGCCCAAAATATTTAATAAATTAATACTAAATTCTAGAAATGTATGTGCAATGTAGCTATGCACACTTACTGTAAGCATAAGGTGGTCTACTAAGTTTCAAGGTGCCCCTCCCTCCCTATTCATATCTTTAGTAAATTAGAAAATTGGGCAGACTAGATGGGCCAAATGGTTCTTATCTGCCGTCACATTCTATGTTTCTATGTTTCTGTGTTTAAATGCCTTGATAACCAGCCCGTGAATTCTTTATCTGTTTAAACACAGATATGTGGTTGCAATATAAAGGCTGTTATTGTTGCATTGTGCAAATTTTTTTTTTATTATACTGTGATGGAACTCAGTCCATTCTCTGACACTCTGTAGTGAGCAGCCCAGCCAACTCCTGGTTAGAATGTTCTTTTATTTTTACTTATTAGAATTCCAATACAGGGACAAATTAATCAAATACAAAGTGTCAGAGTGCAGCAGCCATGTGATAGCTAGCAAATAGGTGTATAGTCAGAGTAAACCAATGTGATTTCAATATAAACTCACTTGTAATTTATAAATAATAAGCCTCAACCAACTTTACTCATTACACATATTACGGTTGTTTCCGACCGCAAGTGTTAAGGCCAAAGGCCTGTATTTCTGAGAGGTGTATGGCCTTATAAAAGCCCCACTCTACCTCTTACCTGGGCTGTTACTAATCAGGTCATCCCACCCACCTCACCCCTCGTACAATTTTTATAGCACCATTCTTTTTAGTCCTCTTCTATTATAGGCCTACCCGTACGTTGGTTTCGGCACACCTCAACCAACTTTGCTCAGTACAAATTACACACATTACGATTATGTTTCCGACCACAAATAATAAAATAAACACATACCTGCCGTGTGCACTGACTTGTAAATCAGTATCATTAGGTTAAGGCCGAGAAATATTTGGTAGAAAGAACGCATGTTAGAATAAATTCTTCAGGTTTATATTGATCTCAGTCTGTCACTAATGGGCGGATTGGTGAATTTCGAGCAGAATGAGAATACTGGGTAATATTTAAACTTCCTGCTACAAAAAGTTTCTCTTTAAATGTGCAGTTTTTTTCTTTAATTTCTTTTCAAGCTAATTGGATGACCAAGGTTTTAAGGTCAGAAAACGTCTGTACGTGTATGTGTATTTATATCATGCATGTGTCTGTGGTTTTTTATAAAGCTTAAAAACATGTTCCACTACAGGAAGTAAGGTACAGAGACAGAGACAGAGACAGAGAGAGAGGAATCAGAAAATAAACTGAAAAGATAAGGAGAATAAATTGGGGTAATGGGTGATGGAAGAGAAAAAACAAAATTAATGAGTAATAAAGAAATTATATAAATTATATTTTAAATATAGATAATTTTCTTTGCAATGTAATGTATGTATCATTTTTTGCTGCTACTGTTCTGACATACAGGTAATCTGTTAAATATTATTTTCCCACCACATTTGGTGGTCTTCTATGAAGGTAAATTCTGCAAAAACTGGCAAATTTTACAGAAAATCTATAGACTATAAATAAATCTACAAAACAGAAGGTCAGCGTTATTTGACACAGGATTATTGGGTAGGCAGAGGCCCCAACAAAGGGAATCCCTCAAAACCCTTTGGAGAGAACAGAAAAAAAACACCCGGATAAACCTTAATAGTACAACTTATTTGGCACAAAAGCAGAAATATATCTGGTGCAAAATTCTCACAAAGAAAATTTTTGTAATCCAAAAATGAAAAAGTCAGTGCTTGATACGATGTACTGTTCTCAATTCAGCTTGACCATAGATAGTATGGGAGACAAAAGACAGGAATAGGTGATAGTGTAGCTTGTTGAGTACAGTCTTTTATAAAAGGAAAAGTTGGGACACTCACACTTGGAAGAGCTATAGCCAGCTCTAGCAGTATAGGCGTACAGTGGTATAATCCCCGCTTTAAAAGATAAACGTCAGCTGTCTACCACGTTCACACTAAGATTATATAAAAGACAGGAAACAGGAACAGGTGATAGTGCAGACTGTATAATTCAATCAGATAAAAGTATAAGATAACGATGGAACACTTACATTTAGAAGAGCTATAGCCAGCTCTAGCAGTATGGGCGTACAGCGGTATAATCCCCACTTTAAAGGATATGCAGCAAATGTCCACAATGTCCACACACTAAGGAAGGAAGAAAAAAGGCAACAGATAGTGCTCTCAATAAAATAGCGTAATCTCTAATAAAATTAAGTAAAATTATACTTACAAGGATAGAGCAGGCTGACTGCTCTATGAACACAGCATTGGTGGTATTATCCCCACCTTCGGATTACTTGAAACATAAACATAATGTGTAATAGTGAGTGGAGCAAAATACCACTAGGAGACAGTAAATAAAAAAGTGTATACAGACTATTCTGATGAATGGAGGTTCTTCCAATAAATGATGGTATATATAGGAGAGAAGGGAAAACAAAATAATAGTGCAGATAGTTTGTATAAAAATACAAATATATAAATATAAAACTGTTTATGAATTAAGTCATCTCTGCAATAATTAGCTGGAGAGGCTCCAATAGAAAAAATGACAATGATTTATTATTTGCAGGATTAAAATCCATAAATCCATAAATAAGAATAACAAGTGGTAAGAAAGAAAGGGTGGTTCGCCCCTTACTGGATATGATGGTGAGTATGACAGACTTCTGTCTGCTCACTACAACACTTTGAAATAGCAGGGTGGCCGGCAGCACTGTTGAGCGTTCTCGTTGTTCGGCTGGACTAAGTGTGGCTGTATGATACCGATCTCCAGAGAAACTGCTTCAAACTCCGTGGTCTGTAGACTCGTCCCCCTGCATGACGTCAACGCGTTTCGCCAGACGGCTTCCTCAGGACGTGCTCACAACCTCCATATTGGTTGTGGGCATATATACGGCATAGGTCACATTTGATAGGTTGTTCAATAATGCATATAAATTACACATAATGTGGATACAATTATACACTTACATGCATTAACCAATAGTTGACTAACTTATGTTGTGTTGTCAATTAAAACAGAGACAAAATATGTTACTAAGTGCATATATCAAACTATTAATATATCTAAAAAAGAGAGATTGTTCATTGATAAGATCTTATTAAAGTGACAGTAGCATATATCAATCATGGGATATTACCACAACAAGTATATATCAAATTGCAAATTACATATACATGAACTCAAAAAAACATTTACATATAAAAGCTGACAGCATACCTAGAAATATATCACATCCTAACAACGAATTAAAACAATATTGGCTTAAATGAAAGAAAAAGGAAGAAAAAAGGAGGACAAATTATTTCATATCATAAATACATCATAATTTTTTGAATAAATATATATAAAACCATATAGCTAATAAAAAAGAAGAAAGAAGGAAAATGAAGGAAAAACACACTGGAAGTTTTTAGATCATATTTAGACACTTTTTCAAATATGACAGAAAAGTCGTCAATATGAACAATAACGAACTATAGGCACCCATATCCCTTCATCTCGATGATATGGTGAGAGTTCCACACCCCTGTCATTTTAACTTTGCACCTGAAAACATTGGCATTTTGCAGGAACGGCAAAGCTTTCATTGTAGGGTTAACATGCCTGTAGTGGCCTGTCACTAATGGTGCTTCTGCGGCTCTTACCAAGTAAAAGTCAGCGTTTGATTGGCACAGTGCAGTGTGTAGGTTTTTTCAATGAGAAGTAAGGGATTTTACATCATTCAATAAGACATTAAAATACTGGTTGGAATCTAGAAATTGGAAGAAAAAGGGCAGTGAATTAAGGGGAAACAATCACAATTCCAGCATTAATATCTGATCGGGAATGTTTTTGAATTTATTTGACATGAGCATTTTCAATGTCATTCAATCATGTCACAATTTTTTTGTACCAGTAAAGTCACCTAAGTTACAAATCATTATCCATGTGAGAGAAAAATAATATGGATCCATCTAGGCAATATGTGAAATGCATGTTTGGAACCTTTATAATACAGTGTTGATGATAGGTGATGGGTGTCACTTACCTGTGGTATTTTATTATGTGTTTGTTTAAGCAGGTTCATATCAATGTAATTTTTACGTGTTATTGCTAACCTCTGCTGTAACCGAATAACCGAGGAATTGTTAGTAAGTAAGTGTGATGATGCTGCTTGCAAATGACATCCTCTTAGCGGCATGGGTTGCTCTCCAAAAAAGATATTATGTGGGTGATATTTAAGTTAACCTGCCTCTCGTGGAAAAATAGTGGAGTAAACCTTTACTAGTGGCCTAAAAAGTGGAGTAAAAATCTAGTATTTTAACCAGATGGTCTCAGTGAGACTATCTGATTGGTACACCGCTATCTCGTGAGTTCCATTATCTTGAATCCCCACTTGGGCATGAGGGTTGGACAATAGTAGAGCAGCTAGTTCTTTTGTCTTTTAGGGATGTGACAGAAACTTGGGACCAGTTATCCCTTTGTACATTCACCTCAATAAAAGTACTCTATAGACACCCAGATCATTTCATCTCAAAGACGGCTGGCAGATGTAGTAATGTTTACATTGCTGGGTAAACCAGTGTGTACCCAGCTGACAGCTGGTAAAGGCCTTTCCACTCCAATCACTGAGTTAAACTAGGCTGTTCAATCAGATTGTCTCAAACAGACCATTAGATTGGCTCTGCACAGTGTTTTGCTGTGCATGCGCACTAGCCTGCCAATGAGTTTATATTAGGAAACATTGAATTGGCTAAGATTATCAACATTGATGATCTCAGACAAAGAGACAAAGCAACATTGTGTAGGCTGGTAAGGGCTTAGAGGTAACTAAAATAAGTAGTTAAAAAATTATAGAGTTTGAAATACATTTGTACTCCCTACACTATAGTGTTACAAAAAAATAATAATCAAATACAATAAATACACACATACAATTACATTACTCCTGCTGTTGCTTTTTGCCCTTTGTAAAATGCCTTTTTTTTTTTTTGCGTTGCTCTGCAGCTGCATAAAAAGTTTAGAGAAGTCGGTAGGGCACTGCTTTTCCACACCAAAGGACGGCCAGTGATGTTACCGACTAAATGTGTGGGAATGCTATCTTCTTCTCAGAGTGGAGTGCATGAGTGGACAGTCATTTCCCCACTCACCTTTCTTTAATTTTTTGAAGCATTCCATAGCTTTAGTATCAGCTTACCCATGGATGTCTGTGTGGGAGAATGTGACGACCATAATCTACCATGAATGAGGTGCCTGCAATTATATTTTTTCATGGAGTAATTTAAAATGTGTACATTTACACACTCTCAACTTTTAAGTTTGTAGCCCATGGAGCAGTGAAACAAAGTGAATGGGATTTGACATAAATAGGATGCAGGCATACAGGGGGATAGGATTTGATTGGTTTGGGATGGGTAGGGGGCAGTGCCCACAGGAATATTAATAACTGACATTTTAGTGTAGGGGCCATTTTAACTCATCCTGACTTACTTGTTCTTGTCCCACCTCCCCTCCCCTTTTTTATGGGTTTTGTATGGGTTTGTCACTTCTCTACTCTGCCAGTCTTAGCGGGAGATGGATAAATACTGGGGGTAGGTAGGATAGGTAGCTGGGATCTTGGAAGTTCGGTACCAATTTTCACCTGGTTGGATTTGGTATCTGGTAGGCGGGAGCTCGCTGGTGGCTTTCAACCTGGGGTTATCTTGGTATACCCCTACAATGTTAGATCTGTTATATTACGTTGCCTGGTGTGGCTGTGTGTGTTGTATTAAGTCATTATAATACTGTCATTTGATTATGTCTGTTAAGTTATGTCATGGGTCATTTTCAGTGGGTATAGTGGATTTGGAGGTTTGGATGTATTCAATTGGATAGGTACAGAGTTAGGCTTGACAATGACCTATTGTGTTAAATATATTTATAATTTATTAAAGCCGTGACATTTACTAACTTTAATTTAGTGTCAGTGTCTTTCTGGGAAGGAGGTAAATTCCAGTATAATCTAGACTATAATATAAGAGAAGACAATGCGCATGTCATGTCTTCAAAGCAATATATACACAAGTTATATAATGTGTTTGCTTCAAATAAATGTTATGCTAAAACTGCTTGGTAGTGAAGGAGAGAGGTGAATGAAACCCTTTGTCTCCAAAATGAATTTTCACAATTTTTTCAATGGAAGCCTAATATCTGCATATAATCCTGTTCAGTCACTGATTCCTTCAGTTATAAATAAATATTATTGAAGCCAGCATTTGGGTCCATCTTTAGTCTTCTTTAGCTTTGAACATCTAGAAGAGACAGCAATTTTATTTAAAGTTATAAATTACAGAATATAAAACAATCTAACTAAATGCAGACATGCACACCACATATACAATACACATAGTACATGTAAGTGTTTTTTCAGGAACATTATATACTTTCTGTATCCATAATTACTGTCATGCTCTTGGACAGCGTCGCATATTACATGGACCTAGAAATATAAACAACAGAGTCCATCTCTTGCGGCACAAAACCATCAGAGAGTTCGATAGTCAATGTTTTGTATTTCGCTTTTTTTTTTCTTCTCTTTAACAGCTGTTTTCTGACTGACAATCTGAATGTTTTTTACACAGACTGTCTACTAAAATTAATGTCCCGAAACTCCTTTATCCGGGGTTTAAATGCTGCGTGTTACAACAAACAGTCAATCCATTTCATGTAAAATACCTGCAAGTTGGTCGTTTCCATGAGAACAATAATCCTGTGATGAGAACGAGAAGGATAACTGACCCCACAAGCCACCTGGTATAATTACGGTTTTCTGTTGACAAAGAAGATATTTTAATTACATATTTTGTTTTTTTAACTATTTTATTATGTTACGGGATAAATGTATTTTATACATATATATATTTAAATACATAAATATGTATAGAAATACATTTTAATAAATATATTTTAATAGCACAGTCTAGTTACTGTAACTATTTCATCTCATTGAAGTAGTTATGGTGCCTGGAGTCAACTGGTGCCACCTCTGTATTGTGTCAAAGCTTTTTTGAATGATGTTGTGATAGACTGAAGACAGTCAGCTAACACTCTCAGCCAATCACATCCATTACTGCACAGACTGTTGGGGACTCTTGTCTAGTGTTAAACCATTCTAAATCAGCATAACACCAAATGGAAGGGACAGCACTAGGGGACTACTGTTACTATAGCCACTTGAATGAGATAAAGTGGTTATAGTACATTGCCTATAGAGTCCTTTTCAGCATTGGCTAAATTATATTTTGTTCAGAGGGCCTACTGGCTAAAAGCTTACTATTAAATGTGCCTACCTATCCCTGGATACCTAATTCTCAGTATAAAAAGAGAAAGTTAGATATTTTTCGTGAAACAAGGAATCCAATGAAATAGTGTCAGGGTTATTTACTGGAAATCTGAATTGTTATAAATTCAAAGTGAATGCCAGATTTTAAACCAAAATTGCTGAATTGAAAACGTTTGGAGATTACTTTCTTTTGACCTAAAATTTAAAACTCACTTTGAATTCACTCTGTGCATTTTAAAAAAATTTTCTCTAGTGAATAATGTTGGTTCTGTATTTGAATTTATTGCATTATTCGTGATTGGGTTAGAGATTAGACTGAAGATAAAACCAATTACCTGTTTAATTTTAACTCACCAAACACGTAAGCATTAAAATGGCATAATTTTCCTGTTTTTAAAACTATTCTCATAACGTGAAATGCGCTGTCACAGACTGTACAGAGTTTAACTCTAAAGTGAAACTTCTCATTCTGTTTACTGCTAACTACAATAATTACTAGTTCTTCTAAATTAGTAGACTGACGACTGGATCAGTTAAAAAGAAAATATCACTATTAATATTACAAGCCAATCATCATTATACTAGATAAAGTAATATTTGTAAAGCAAACACAGATTGGTAGTAAAGGGATTTGTTAATTACTAGACAAAAAGTTTAAGAAATCAGTCTATAAATATTCCTAGATGAAGTGCATTTTCTTACCAGGTATTAGAACGGACATTATCTGAGGATGAGTAAATGCAGGATGAGAAACATTACATTTCACTTCTCTCCCACTGATTCCGTGTTCGCTGTATGTACTAATAACTGTCCAAGTATTGTCCGGCTCCATTCTACTTCTAGTAGTGACATTATCTGATTCCGGAATCCAGGAAATATCAGCTGCTGGATTCCCACCAACAGCCCGACACTCAGGAGATCCATCTCGGTTTATCATCAGAGACACGGAAGGAGGAACTGGGAAAATAAATGGTGCGATAACTGAAACATTATCTAGATCGTGAATAGTGAATAGACCTGTCCTACTGAAAGAAATCTGCATTTGGAAATGCCCTGTGTCTTTTCTGAGGACTTATCTGATATAAAATAATAAAGTATTGCAGTTATTTGTTATACTCTCATTATTGGACAAGCAGAAATCATTTTTCGGCCACAGTGAAACAAGCATACTATGATAGCTGCAACGCAGAGGTTAAAGCAGCAAAAAATCAGTTACAGTAAAATACAGAAAACATGGAAAAATACCCCAACAACATAAATAACCCCACACATTTTAAATCCCCCAACAGCTGTGATCTGAGTGCACAACATATCCAAATAGCGCTCCAATCTGTTCGCTAGAACAGAATCACTATTTGGGTAAAGTTCTGACCGGCCGGCCTTGAGGCGATGGCCCAAAATAGTTCCAGGGAATTGAGGACAATGGACGGTCTCCTTTCAGGGATTCCTGTGTGAACACAGACGAATGCTACCTCTGGCTTCTAGGGAGCGAAAGCTGCCCCCAGTCGGTAGTTCCTGTGGCAGACACCCCGATGGGAAGAGATGTTCTTCCCCCCCCCCCAGTGTGAGTTCCTGGGAGCGATAATCCTAAAAAGCAGTGATATAGCTGTTCCCTACAACCACAAGACGAAGCTCTGTGTTGAGGGTAAAACTGGAACTGTTTAATGGAAACCACAGCTGGCCTTTAATGCAGGTCCCTATGCAAGGGGATTCTGGTGACATATTTCAGGGGCATTCGGCACTGGATCTGAGAGGGGACAGTAGCAAAAGCACACACATAATTACATTAACTCTCAGGTCCATTCCATGTATAATAAAAACACCCCAAAATACATATTTACAATTGAGTACCCCCTCAAGTCCTATATCCCCGGGTAGCCTGGATCTGATTGCCCAACATATCCAGAAAGCACACAGATCGCACGAACGCAGCCGAAACGCCACCGGGGTAGGGTTTGGACTGGCTGTGCGGTCGGTCTCTTTCAGGAGTACCAAATAAAACAATATGTACAAATAAACAGCAGAGGTTTATGGGGTCAACAAGCAGCACACTCCGCATATGGGTGGTCTGTCATTTAGTTATTTATTCGGTATTCGAACAGGGCAATGTTAACATACAAGGTGAATGCAATTTACAGAACAAAGAGGCAAAGGGAACAAAGGGCTGTATAATCCAGGGACAGGGAGATCTGTCACAGTTCCTATCTCCTGAACATTGGTCGGGAAGTTGAATGGGCAGTTCGCGAGACAGCGTGGCCGAAAATAGTTCCAGGCATTCGACGACCATGTACCACTGCGTGCATTCGGTAGACAAAATTGCACTGGACCACGTGCATTCGGTTATTCGAATGGCGGCCCCCTGGGGTAAGCACTCAAGTTAATTACTTAATTTGTGGTTAACAGCCAGGGGAGGTATAAAAGGGAGGGCAACAAACCATTCATTCAGGAGACAAACAAGAGGTTATGGACAACCGAACACAAGGGAATGAAGTCTGCTACAAAACTACTCCAGCGTGTTGTAAATTTGTCCTGGGATGAGTGAATTGGGAAACAAAAACAAAAGTTAAGTGAAGAGATAGTAAGTTACACAAGCCTATGTACTCATACACTGACATTATGGTTGTAGTGTAAGAAGTATATACCAGCTCGATGAAGAGCAAAGTAATAGCCACAGAAATTTCCCCCAATATTATTTATATATTTATCTATTTATAAGATATTTTACCAGGAAGGATACATTGAGATTTCTCTCATTTTCAAGTAAATATTACTTCACAGCTTCCAGCTGCTTCCCACAGTTTGGTGCAAGGCGTGGATACTAATCTGCCCAAACCTTTAGCCCACACCCAACTCACAATGGTGGAGTGACAGGGGGATCAGTATCAGTGGATTTATTATACAATGCTATAGAATCTAGAGAAAAAGCTCAAGAAAATAAACCACAAATAAACCACAAATCATATGTAAAGCCTGTGAGAACTTTGCCACCAACTATAAAAATCACGTGAAGAGCACACCATATTACTCTATAGCTTTGTTTATTATTATTATGATTATTATTATTATTATTATTAACCCGTTTACTATCAAAATTGACTATAAACGTTTTCATTTTTATGTATTGTGAAGAAAGAATCACCCACCCTCATTTATACTCTAGGAATGATTACCAGTCTGTAGACAAATTCATTCCTCCATAAGAAGTATCTAGTCACTAATAAAATGCTTGCAAGATTTCTGAAAATGTCTGCTCAACCCCTGCTGCCAAACTATAAAGTAAGTTCTGTGTAAAATTTTGTATTTATTGTGTATTAATATTGTTTTTGTATTTTATTGTACCCTATTGTATCAATGCAATGTTTCGTGGACCCAGGACATACTTGAAAACAAGAAAAATCTCAATGTATCCTTCCTGGTAAAATATTTTATAAATAAAATAAATAAATAAAAGTTTCAATGGGGTGTATCATTCCTAAAGTCGGGGAGAGAATGCACTCTTTTCACTATTATGATTAATTGAGCATTCCAGAGATTGACAAAGATTGCTAGTTTTAAATTCCTGTATTTTAGGATTATATGATTTAACAGTGTTTATTGAAAGAGGGCATTTTTTTTATTAATGCAGACATTATTTTTACATTCTGTTGCTCTTTTTAGTAAGCTGTTTTGCTAGTAACACCTTCAGGAAGAATTTTGACCATTTTTAACATTTTAGACATTGTGTGAAACATTGCAAGATAAGGGACAGCTACAGTACTTTTAATTCCCTTAATAGTTTTATAAATGATTAACAAATAAGTTTTAAAAAAAATGGGCACATTTATACAATTAAAATTTTTAGGTTTCTCTGCAAAGCAATTGATACACCAAATTACTGTATTATGATATGTTTGCATGCTAGCTATGCATCCCTAGCTTCGAGTAAATGTTATGCTACTAATTTTAATGATGTAATTATTATTAGAACTATATGCAAAGCATTTAATACCATTTAACACAGTCCAGTAACTAGCAAAAGTTATTTAGTACCTAATATTTGTAACAGAACGGTATTTAGGAATGTCCCTTCAGCATTTGATACTTCACAGGTGTATATCCCTGTATCGGTTATTTCAGTATCCAGTATTTTCAGGGTCACATTGTCCTGTCTTGCTCTCTCTGTGCAGTTGGTGAAGGTCTGGTTATCACTCATTGACATCAAGCAGGGAGCTTTATACAGAGGACGGATGCGCCATGTGATCATTATAAATGTATCTCCGGGATCATGTGCACAATGTAGAATGCCAGTAGAACCAGCGACAACAGACACAACGACATCTGAAATCAGAAACATGTTAAATAATAGACAGATCAACATTTGACACGATAACCTGGAGATGCAAACAGGCAGATACACAGTGAAACATCACAATAGATAGCACAATATTCACAACCACACACATACTAATACAATAGCAAAATTAAACTTTACATTCCTTGTTTAATATTAAGGTATATTGGATATTAAAACATAGTATGGACGCTCCAAAATAAATGAATAAAAAAAAAAAAAAAGCAGATGTTTCTATGGATAAAAAATAATAAGTATACCTTTTAAAGAATCACAACTAAATCAATCTATAATTACTTTTCCTAAAACTTTTTTTTTATAATATAACCTCTAGATAGTGGTATAAAACACACACAAGTATCAAATGGGGCAAGATCACCCCGTACCAAGACAGGGGGACCCTCCTCAGAGTACCACCCCTGGAGGAGTATCTAAGAGCTTAACTAAAAATGATAGGAATAAACTTTATTGAATAACTAAATAAAAAAACAAACAAAAAAAATCAAGGTACTGTTAAATATAAGTAAATTGGCTCCCAATCACTGCCAGGAGACTTCTATGGTAACATAAATAGGTTTCTTATTCAAATAACAATTCAGCTCAAAACAGAGTTGTAAACAATAGAAACACTGTTGCAATGTAAACTCACAGAGGCTACAACTTGCAGATACTCAATAGATGCCAGAGGCAGTGTGCTGTGCTATAATAGTTAGAAATCGAAAGGACAGAAGAGAGCATATAGGGAAAAACAAAGGGAGAAAAGTAATCTCCAAGGGGGTCCAGTCTAAAACCCCGGACACCTCAACCAAGGATAACCCTTATAAATAACCAGATGCCCCCACTAACATAGAGACCGGCCGACCAAGGTCTCATAACAGCACAGTACAAACTGTTGAATCAGTACACAAGAAAAATATTAAAATTGGCGATAACCGCATCGGAAAAAGCCCGACGCGTGTTTCGGCGGTCTAACCGCCTTTCTCAAGGGCCAACACACCAATCAGGGGATCCCCCTCTCTCTTGAATAAAACACCACGTGTGCCCCTCCCACCTACCCATTGTGGGCCGTCACTAACTTGGAACAGCCCATAGAGTCTGCGTGTCTGGCGGGGAGGAAGTACGGTCCGTGCGCATGTCCATGCTGGAATTTCGGCGCATGCGCGAGGACTTAGCGTAATAGTAACATTATAGCGTATGTGCAAATACTTAGCGCAACAATGTGCACAATAAACATTGTTTCAATCCAACCCCATCCTGTATGCAGAGAACTTATAGCAGATGTACATCAAATTACAGACACCTGCATATCAGCTGTATCTTCAGTAATATGTATGAAAAAACTTAATGTCTGTATACAGATTTAGCAAGCAAACTGCTAGGTTGATATATAGTCCTGCAGGCAGATGTGAATAATGGCAAAAATCATGGCAAAAATAATATTTACATTCTCAGTAGAAATATTATAGGAAAATAATAAGTAAGCTACAGAAGACAAAAAGAGTGTTAAATAATAAAAACACAGCTGGTAAAATCAATAAACAAAGACAGAAAAATGCGAACAAATACGAAAAAGACCAAAAAAAGGGGAGAGGGATACAGAGAAATGAAAAGAAAGGACCTTCAAATCAATGGTTAGATAAAAGGGGCAAAAGAAAACACCTCATTCAAACCTATAGGTTGAAGTGTCTTAAGTTCATATATCCATCTAGACTCCCTCTGTCTTAGAATTTTATCAAAATCTCCACGTCTTGGATTCCTCTTCACCAATTCAAGTCCACAGACCCTTAGATTATTAGAATCACCATGATGATGTTCTTTGAGATGTCTTGAAATAGGTGTCTCAAGACGATTTCTAGGGGATCTTACATGTTCCATAATCCTGTCTTTAAAAGCCTTACAAGTTTTACCCACATATTTTTGTCCACATGAGCACGACAACAGGTATACAAGGCCCTTCGTATTACAGTTAAAAAAATGTTTAATTTTAAAGGAGCCTTGTCCTGTACTGTTGCTAACAATCTTAGAGTCTTTGGAGATATATATTTGCAGGCTATACATCTACCACAACCGTACGTGCCAAGTGGAGGAGTTCCCATATAAAGCTTGCAGACATCCTACTTCTGTGGCTTGACATTTTTAAAATTTTTACCTATTAGAATCCCAATACAGGGACAACCAAATATTGGTAGCTAACACATTAGTTAAAATAAACCAATGTGATTTCAATGTAAACTGCTATTTGTATAACTTACAAATAATAAAATACACACATACCTGCCGTGTGCGCTAATTTGCAAATCAGTATCATCAGGTTAAGGCCGAGAAACATTTTATAGAGAGAACGCATGTTAGAATGGATTCTTCATATATATTCGTATATTGATCTCAGTCTGTCAATAATAGGTGAACTGTGATCACAATGAGAATTTTGAGTAATATTTGGCTTCCTGTTGTAAAAAGTTTATTTCTAAACTTAGTGGTTACAGTTTACTTCTTTTCACGGTAATTGGATGAACAATGAGTCTCGAGTTTGGTGTGTGTGTGCATATACATGTGTGTGTGTCTGTGGTTTCTTCTTAATGTTTAAAAAAGGTTTCAGTACAGAAATTAAAGTACAAAGTAACTATCTAAGTAAATAACATAAGTTAAATATTGTATAAGGAAAAATGTGTTACATATCAAGACATAAAAGAATATAAAGAGAGAAAGAAGAAAACTGAAGGCAAAACTAAAAAGAGTCAGAAATGAAAGTGAAACACTGGGAAGAATGGGTGTAGGAAGAGAAAAACACACATTTTTATTCCAATTTATAATTTTTTTTTATTGAATTCTTTGTTAAAATAAGCATAGAGGTTACAGAAAAGCAAGGTACATGCTAGTAAGTATCACATGTGCTAAACATTGTACACATTTAGTACCAGCAAGTACAATATTTTACATGGAAAAGGTACAACAATGATTGCAGGTTATAGCAGGGTACAATGTTTAGTACACGTTGCGTATTAAGCTTATGTGTTATTACTTTACAATATGTGGTCATTGTGCGTGTAGTAGGTATATCAGGTAAAGCTGCGTTTAAGGTGTAGCTCCATTTAATACTACAATTTTAGGATTTGTGCCATAAGAGGCCTGCGCACCCCTGCTTTTGTCCTTCTCCTAAGGAGGCGTAATTTGTACCTCAACTGCTAAGATAGAAAGGTTACATAGAAACAAAAGGGGTATGTAAGGGGGAGGGGGAGGGAGGGGAGGGTTCACTCCAGTTACTCACTTGAAACTGTGAACTTATTTTGCGTCTTGCATATCTTTAACTAACCTAATTAAAAGGATTAAAATGGCTGCCTTGGGCCAGATTTCCTTGTGCTCCTTCTGTCCAACCCCATCACTGGGTGGGTAAATTAAACATAGCAGTTATAAAAAGGCAAAGGGCCTATTAATAAGCATCTCATGTGCCAGACATTGAACACCCTGGTGCCAGCATGCTCAAATTTTAACATGGTGCATGATATGACGTAGTACAACTTGTAGTTATAAATCACTTGAATAGAAATACGTTATATTGCCTGATCCTTATACATATAAAAGGTACATTATGGGTTTAGCATCAATTAATACATCAGCTGCAAAGGTTGTACCATGAGAAGCTTTGTTGTCATCAGTACCCTTAGTTGTTTGACGGAAAGGATTGGTAGAAAAAAGAAAAAGAGACAAAAAGGAGGGGGGAAAGTTAGAGGGAGGGTTAGTTTCATTCCATAGACACACTTGAAATCCTGAGCTAATTTTACCTCATGCATACCTTTAGCTAACATGAATAAGGTGAGATCAGATTTCCCCGTCCCACTATCTATCCATCCTCAGCCCTGGGTTGGTCAGTAGCGAGTACAATGCGCCTGGTTGTTCATTCACCACCTTGGTTGGTAAACAGTGCCTAGGAAGCCAGTAAATTAGTGCAGTGTCTCTCATACATAGGTTAAAAGTGATACGCTCAACTCAGAGTCTCCCAGCTTTCCCTGACTGTGTAGGAGGAATTGATCCTTTATCCCATCCCAAGCTCCCCACCTTCGTTGATAATGGGAAGATTTACCCTGCAGGGTTAAGGACATTTTTTCATATGAGCATATGGAATCCACTCTTTAAATTGTTTCCATTATTGGTGGGGCTAGGGTGCTTTTCCAATGATGAGCAACGCAAATCCTTGCCGCTACTAGGAGATTTCAAATAATTGTTCTGTTTGGCATGGTTACAAGGTTAGGGATCATGTGGAGCATGTAATATTCGGGCAATCTGGGGAGCCTGAGTCCGGATATAGTGTCTACTAACGCTGTTATTGACTTCCAGAATTGCTTTAACTTTAAGCATTCCCAGAATATATGGCTGAGAGAGCCTATGGAGGTTTGACATCTCCAACAGGTAGGATTTGCATCCTTATAGATTTGAGAGAGTCTGAGGGGCACCAAATACCACCTCATCTGTAATTTCGCATGCACTTCCCACATAGATATACTTTTAGAGGCTGCCTTAGTGCATCTGATAGCCTCCTGCCATTGTGAGAGTCGGAACGTCTTACCAAGTTCTTTCTCCCAGCTGTACATATAGGGTAGCTTTTCGTCGTCTGGTTCACCAAGAGCCGAATAAAATAAGGACAGGGATTTTAAATTTGTTGCTCCCTTTGTAAGGAGATTAAACAACCTATGCGGGACGAAAAACTCACATTTTTAACATAAATAAGGGGAACATCCAAAGGGAGACATGTTTATGTCTAATTTTTGGTACAATTTATTAAATCTGTTGATTTTTTTTTTTTATCTAATGCCTCTTTTGTGCCCTGTCATTGTTTAATGTAAACCGATTTATTTGTCTATGCTACAGATTTACAAACTTTCTGCCACTTTTCCCAGCAGAAAGGTAATCTATTTTACTTCTTTTTTCCCCTTCACTCTATATGTGGTCGTGTTCTAAAGCAAACACAAGCAGAATTTACTGCAAATGAAAACTGACACTTTTCAGATCTCACTTAGAACACTTTAATAAATAGAAATGATGATGGAATTTAACTGTCACTTTTCAGAACACTTCCATTTCTTTTTTTTATTAGCAGTTACACAGCACCGACATATTCCTCTGTGCAGTACAATTGTTATTGACAATATCTGACAAGTTATTGACATCCAGAATTTCAAGAGAGACAAGAGGTGTAAAAGGCCCTGCTCAAAGGAGCTAACAATCTATGAGATCAGTATCCCCATTGTGTATATGACAATGTAGAACATAATAATTGGCATATTTCTTGCTCTGGTGAAGGAGAGTAGTACATTGGAGTGAAGATGACTCAGGTTGTGTAAGTTAGGGGGTGTGAATGCACTTTGATGATATGAGTACACCCTTGAGAAATCAGTCAGTAAAATCAAGGAGGCTGTCAGTTTAGTACATTAGGTTTCACTTTCTATTGAGTTCAAAGATTTAACTTGTTTTATTCATTCCGGAAAATATCATGTTGGAGAGGAATGAGGGATTTAACAGCATATAATAAGACATTAAAACACCGGTCGGCATCTAGAATTCAGAATAAAACTTTAGTAAATTAGGTGATCAATCACAATCCAGAAACTATATCTGATCAATAAAGTTCTATTAGTTTATTGCTTGAGTGTTTTCAGCATGATCCCAATCCAAAAATATAACAAATTTGTTTTTTTACTAATAATGCGGCTTAAGTTAGATTTTACTATCGATTTAAAACAGGATTAGATTCAGTTTTAATCATTAATCACATGATCTTAAGGTCGATACTCCAAAATCAAGAGGTAATGGCAAACAATATGAATCCATTGATAAAATATCTGGAATGACTGGACCCTTTATTTGATTTGTGCATTGTGCCAAATTCTGTAACTATGACCGTATAACCAAGCAAACAACTAGTGCATGTTCATTTGCGTCTGTATTTGTAGACCCTACTGTGCTGTAAAAAAAATAGAGATTATTTATAGCAAAAATATAATTGATGGCTAAGTGACCACTACAGGTAAAACAAACGTGGATCTGTAAAAAAAAAAAAAATCTATATTTAGCTATTACTGTATTATATATTTAATAAACATATAATATATAAATATATTTTTTTCTGCACCTCCTCTTTTTCCCTTTGTTGGTTACTTTTT